GATATTTTGAAAATTACAGTTAGGAGTTTTTCATTAAAAATGTTTACCAGGCAAATCTAGCCTCAGAATATACAAAGGAAATGCACACACACGTGTATGTGCTAACCTCAGTGGCTTCTTAAGTACAGACATCCCATCCCCTTGGAATGAAACAAATAATAATAGCCCTGCAAAACACAAACTATCATTCTAAGAGAAAACCAGGAAAAGACAATGTGATCCTGCAGTCTCCTTCTTAACATTAATCACACAAACATCTACAGCTGACATGTGGAAAGGATTTGGAAAGCTCAAAGGAAGTGCAAGCCAGACTCAAAATGCTCCAGATCAGTGAAGACAAATGCCAGGCCTCCAGAAACAACAATTTAAAACAAGAAAACATATCTGAGCAGAGCAGGAACTGCCATGGGGGATGGTGCAAGCAGCATGAAGTGCCAAAAGAAAAACAGAGAACTGACAGGACAGCAGGGGGGAAAAGAGCCTGGTCTTCTGCGCCAGAACAGAAGTCAAAGTTGGCTGGTAGGCAAGAACTGCCTGATTCATCAGTTCCACCAGCTAAGAGGACAAAAAAAGTCAATATCCAATCTGCAGAGAAGTTTCAGTCAAGAGAAGGGGAACTGTGCGCCCATAACCAGAAACCACATTGACAGTTCCTCATCATGGCTGAGTCTGTTCCTCTTTAGCAGCAGCTGCTGCACTTTTTGGACTTAAAGGAGGGTCAGTGGTGGCATATTTTAAGTTCCCTCGAGATCCTAAGCCAAACTGCTGGAGAATAACAGCTATAAAGACAGCATCCAATATAGCAGGAAGAGATGCCAATATAGCAGGAAGAGATGCCAGGTGGTTCAGTAGTTTTGAACACAATGCTGATATGGGAAGGCACAGATTCATTCCTGCCAGTGAACACAATGCTGATATGGGAAGGCACAGATTCATTCCTGCCAGTGAGACACAGCACCTTATCAGCTATTCATCTCACTGGGTTTCCACTGAGCAGTACCTGGGTCTTTATATTCTTTGTTTCTCTATATTCCAATGTTCAAAGTGCACGTGCACAATTACAAGGTGTCTACTATTCTTCACAATCAATGTCCAAGGTAAATCCTATTAAAACAAAAGCTGTTGGCCATTTCAAAACTTTCACTTGGTACAGCGAGTCCCCCAAGTATATGATTAATAAACAACCAGGATGCGCAATCCTGCACATAAATAAATAAATAAATAAAAGTGGCAGGTGAAAGGATCACAGCAATCCAGGACACTATGTTTATAGCTGATAAAGTATTGTGCCAAAGCCTCCAAGTAAACTTTACAGCTGAACAAGGACTTGAACTTGGACTTTTGACGCCCAAGCCCACTGCACTGTAGTTCCCCTTTTGTCCAACCTGTACTTGCGACAATCTACAAAAAGAATGTGTGAATCACAGTAGTTCATACTTTCTGTTTCCAAGTGCACAGGAGGTCATGGAAACCTGTCATCCTCTCTTGGAGACTGCACAGGCACCCATATGTTTAAGCTGAAATGTTAGAGGAAGAGCTGAAATGTTTGCCCATAGGGAAACTTCTGTGAAATCTGAGACTGGAGTTAGGTTTTGTTATGCCTTGTCTTGTTGCCCTATGCCAGTCTTGCTTCTCTACCCATATTTAAATGCCCAGTCCCTCAGCAGTGCAAGTCCGGGCTCACTCTCAGAAATCTTACAGAACTGTAAACTATAAAGAGCCTTTGACACAGCACCTTATTAGCTATTCAGTCCATTTCAGCACCAAACTCAAGCTGAGTTCATTCTTTTTTCCTCTCTCCAAAACCACCAAGCCCCCTCACTTGTCCAGTACATCTGTTGGGATACATTGAATTGCAAAACACTCTTTCCTGAGAAACCTGTTCCCTTCCTATCCCTCCTCCATTTACACCCTGCAGGAGCTGCTGTTACTCATTGAAAATTCAGTTTAAATTCAATCTTTTTGTATGGGAAGAAAACTCTTCGGGTTATTTCCAACGATCTACACTGCTAGGATGGCAACACCAAGTTACAGAATTAAAAAATTATTCATGAAGCACTTTACATACATTGCAAAGAGAAGAACATTTTCAAAGTAGGATACAGTGATGAAAGCAGATCCACAGACATAACTGCAACAGAAATGCACAGATTTAAAGGAAAGTGATGTAATATTTGAATGCAAGCTATTATTTGTTGGGGCACTCAAAATTGCTGGGTATCACAAATACCCTGTTTGAATGCATAAAGTTTCATTTTCAGCTTCAACAATAAAGGATGCAGGGGGTTACGTAACTAAGCAGCTGATTTTAAATTTAAAACATGGTGAGTCAAAATAGATGAGTCAATTGTTTCCATATGGCAAAGAAACAGAACCCTTTTTCCTCATGAATGGGCCAATCTGAAGTTCCAAGAACGTAATGGAACGTTTACCAAATGGTAATTCATAAACTGAACATTTATAATTTATTTTCAGCAACAAAGAGAAGGAAAAAATTATCTTGAGACTGATAGGCAGGACTGGAAATCTGGGGTTCAAAAAGTGCCTAAATCATAATCGTCCA